AAAAATAGTCCAGTTTCAAAAGTAATCAAAATTTAGCCACTTTTCATGTAAAGATAAATTTGAGCGAAAATACTGTTCAAAACCCGGAAAATACGTCAGTATATTATGCTGGAGTTCCAACATAAGTATACTTGAACTCCAGCATATTATACTGGAGTTCCAGGATAAGTATGCTGGAACTCCAGCATAATATGATGGAGTTCCAGCATAAGTACACTAGAACTTCAGCATAATATACTGGAGTTTCAGCAAGTATACTAGTCCAGTATAATATACTGGAGTTTGGAGCACTGGTGCTCCAGTCTCCAGTATATTATACTGGAACCAGCAAAGTATATCGGTCCAGCATAATATGCTGGAGTTGATACACAGGTGCACCGAACTCCAGTATATTATGCTGGACCGGTCTCTGTTGCAGCAAAATAATGGCTATTTTTCATTGACTTGGTAAATGCTGGCTATTTTTGAATGACCAATCCGAAAACTGGCTATATCGTGCTACTTTTACGCTCATAACTAGGGTCATTTATTATGGGCAAGTTACACATTTGGCGCCAAAAATCACTAGTCATTACTTAAGAAATATATTTTAATTATTATTTACGAAATATGTGTATAATATGTATTTATATGTTAACAAAAAATATAGAGTTTGCGGCTATTATTTTTAAGAGTGGTTATACTTGTGTAGTTTTCCCATCTAATTATCTTTCTGATGGTCTGCCCACTCCTCATTGTAAAAGGTGCGTATTGCAGTTATTAAAAGTTCAAGATGAAAGACATAATATAAAGTTTAGGCTACAAAGAAAATTTGGGAGAAATTCAAAAATAGCTAGATTTATAAGTGGTCATTTAAAAATAGCTATAATTTCAAAAGTAATCGAAATTTAGCCACTTTTTATGTAAAGATAAATTTGAATAAAAACATTGTTCAAAATCCGAAAATACTCCATCATAATATACTAGAGTTCCAGCATAAGTATACTGGAACTCCAGCATAAGTATACTGGAACTCTAGCATAATATACTGGAGTTCCAGTATAATATACCGGTCCAGTATAATATGCTGGAAGTTCATACACAGGTGCTCTAATCTCCAGTATATGATGCTGGAACTTTTCGCGTGTTGGAGTTCCAGCATAATATGCTGAAAGTTCATACACAGGCACACCGATCTCCAGTATATTATGCTGGAACTTTTCGCGTGTTGGAGTTCCAGCATAATATGCTGAAAGTTCATACACAGGCACACCGATCTCCAGTATATTATGTTGGACCGGTCCCTGTTACAACAAAATAGTGGCTATTTTTAATGACTTTGTAAATGCTGACTATTTTTGAATGACCAGTCCAAAAACTGACTAGCTCGTGCTATTTTAACAGAAAATTTAGAAGGTTCATGTCGATAGCTAGTTTGTGGCTATTATTTTTCTTCAGAATAGACGACTAATGAACTAAAGCTCCTTTGAAGTAGTAATTTAATAGTCATATTGCGTGGCGCAACTCCAAATTAATCGATGCTCTGATACGAATATCGAGTACTAGAAAAAAAGTACCAAAAAATAAAAGAGATTGTAGTAATTCGTAGTAGAGATGACACCGGTAACCACTTTAAAAGGCTACTATTTAGGAATTAGCTAGTGCGTCCTGAATTTCAATTTTTCGGTTCAATTTTTCAGGATAAAATTGTCCTAAATTGTCCTGAAGTTAAGATTTTTAGTTTAAATTTTCAGGACAAAATAAGTACGTACTAATCTCTAAATACCAATGACTATATATGCACTTGCCCCATAATTCTTAGTAATTAGGTTTACCTACCACTACTTTTTGACATAAGTGAGGTATAAGTTGAATTATTGACAATCACTTACTGCCAAGTTGTGTAATAGCCCATAGGACTGAATGAAGACTCATATTAGGTAGGTATTGGTGATAGCATAGATAAGACTCGGGAAAAAATTAAATTATAAATCCAACATCTCAAGTTAAATAAAATCATATCATAAAATGGTCAAAGAGATTGTACATAGAAGAATCCCACCAATTTTCAAACATTATGTGGAGAATGTGCCTGCTTTACGCTCTGTCCTTGTCTTTGCTTCGGTCAAATCGCTTCCCATAAGCAAAGTGCCATTAGAAGAAAGGTTCCTCTTCCGCAGGGTGAAGCCATATGATCTCTACGTGTTTTGTTGTGTGATACGTTATAGATACAATAATATACGCAACGAGGAAGAACCCTTTGAAAAATTATTGGTAGAGGCTGAAGCACTTTATAAAGGAAGATTACATGTTCTCAATCGCAGCAAATGGTGATAATGAAGAGGATGCTACTTCATTAATTGAGAGAGACGTAGAAATGCTTGAGAAAGCTTCTAGTATTGGGGTGATTCATTTGGTAGGAGAACAAGAATAATGTGTTATCTTAGAATAAATTATTAAGATTTTTTTTGCAGTATTTGGTTCCTCGTATGAGGAGGTGTGAGCGGCTGGTTGTGGAGGGCACGAGAAGAGGTAGAGGGCGGCCTAAGAAGTATTGGGGAGAAGTGATCAGGCAGGATATGGCGAGACTTCAGATTTCCGAGGACATGACACTTGATAGAAATTTGTGGAGGTCGAGTATTACAGTTGTAGGCTAGGAGCTAGTTGAGTCTTGCGTTACTTTGTTCCATTGTGAGCCTAGTCTGGTAAGGTTTTAATCGAAAATTACTAGGGGCATTGTCGTGTCTTAATATTTTCTCTTTTCGGTGCTAGATCTATTTACTAGCCATCATTTCTGCCTTGTATTTTTCTTATGCATTTTAGGTTCCTATTTTTCCTATGATCTCTATGGTGAAACTAATATTCTCCCCTTTTGTTTTTCTTATTTTTCTTATTATCTTGAGCCGAGGGTCTTTCGGAAACAGCCTCTCTACCCCTTTGGGGTAGGGGTAAGGTCTGCGTACATACTACCCTCCCCAGACCCCACTTGTGGAATTTTCCTGGGTTGTTGTTGTTGTTGGTTCCTCGTATGGATGTTGTAATTTCTCCTCACGATTTGGACTCCTGATCGCTCCGGTAAATTTTCCTGTAGAACTGCTTATAGGACCTTTGGGCAGGTGAAGAATACTATTATACAAAAAGAAGTTGTACAGAGGTTTGGAATACAGAGGCCTTTCGTGTGCTGCTATTGTATTCACACCCAATGCAGAAACAAATGCATATTTATCTTATTATCGCATTGGCAACAACAATTAATGTTAAAGAAATTTAAAAAAATGATGGCTGGAATAAGATGGTGTTTTGATAATAGATTTGACAATGCTTGTGTTGAATCAGAGTCTCTAATCATCATTCAAATGGCCAGGAAAGAATATGTAATTATGTGGCAAGCCATGACTATATGTCACAATGAGATGGAATTGCTAATTTTTCTTCTGAACACATGTATACAGAAGAGAATATGGCAAATTGGGTGAAAGAACCAAGGGTAGATCAAACTTCAATGTGGCCTTATCATGGCCAAGGCATATTAAAGGATGATAGACCAATTGGTTTACCTAGTCTTTGGATTAAAGATATGAAAAATCATGTAGATTATGGTTGAATTTGTACAGTACAAGTTGTTTCAAAGCTTCAAATCATATAATTGTACATCAGTCGTCCTATTGTTTACTTTCATAGTGTAGCTAGGTACAGTACTATTGTAGGGGATAGGGTATTCCTATCTTAATATAGTAACAACTACCAGGGAAGTCCGGAACCAAAATGTAATTCTTTTGGACTCAAAGTACACATATAGGTGATAAAAAAAGTTACATTTTTATATATAGCGCCACAGTACCTGGCGCTATACATTAACAGTAACGACACCATTAATGTATAGCGCCAAGTATTGTGGCGCTATACTGTAAAATCTGACACGCTCAGGTATAACGCCACAATACCTGGCGCTATACATACATCATTAATGTATAGCGCCAGGTATTGTGGCGTTATACCTGAGCGTGTCAGATTTTACAGTATAGCGCCATAATACTTGGCGCTATACATTAATGGTGTATGTATAGCGCCAGGTATTGTGGCGCTATACATACATTTTTTAAACCCTCCGTCTTCTTCGTCGACTCCTCTTCCATTATTTTAACCTTCCTCTCTCTTCTTGGTCCCCCCACCCCATACCAGCTTCTGCCCTCATTTAAAAAAAAAAAAATAAAAAAATTTGGGTTCCCCCGACACATAAAACTTGAAGAACGTAGGTCCCACATTCGAGGAGAGCTTCGTGTTATTGTTGATTCACACTTCCAGAGTCAAAATTTCAATCTTTTTGCTTTCTGAAAATTCTAAATCGAGGTATTTCAATTTATTTTAAGTTGAAACATTTATAATAATGCATATTATTTGATTTGTATGTGATCTATTTCGGTTTGTCTTTTTTTTTTCCGAAACTAGCATGTTAAATTTATCCGGATTTAATATTAGTGTTTTCTAAAAAAATATGAATTTGTAAAAAAATTTGTCTGTTAATATCCTGATTTATATATGTGTGTTTTCATGCCGTTTTGTATTTTATTTGCAATTAAATTTATTTGTTGTTTATGATTAGTTTAGATTATTTTTTAGTGTAGTAAAATCTAGAANTTGGTGTCACTGGTCCTCAAAATATCGAGCCCTGAACCCATATATATATATATATATATATATAATT